GTCAATACAAATCTACACTCCAACTATACACTTTCATCAACTAATACTGCAAAATCTCTTGAGACTACTTGGCACAAAATTCACAACAGTATAATTACTGCTGCCCTCAAGCATATACCCAACAAAAAATTTACTGTTTGTAATTTCCAACATACATTTTCTTCCAAAGCTACTCATTTATACTCTAGTCTTAAAAAACTCAGTAATATTATTCAACAAACCAAAAATGCTCTAAAACACCATATACCTGTTTCTACATATCTTAACAACTCTATCTCTCTTCTTAATCAATCTCTTAACCTAAATATTTCTACACTTTTCCAAACATACCAACCCCTTACCTCTTGGATTACTGATGCTAACTCTGAGTGGAAAAAACTCTATTATGCTCGTAATATAGAGAACATCAAAGAAATTAGACAACAAATCATCACTGCCATTGATAAAAGATGTTTCAAGCTCCAAACCCATTCTACTTCAATGATTAATAGTATTCTTAACCAACACAAGGATCCAGTTAAATTTCAAAAAATTTGACTTAATGATGATATTATTGCTAACCCTATAGCAATTAAATCTCATATTCAACAATATTTTGACAACTGGACAACACCCAGGTATATTAACTCTAAGATCTTTAATTCCCAATAGCACACTGAGTATAACCCCAAAACAAACATTAGCCCTTTCTGGTACTCCTATATCTTGTTCAATTTCACTAAAGAAGAGTTTATCTTGACAATCAACCAACTCCCTAATAATAAAGTCTGTAGCCTATCCAGTATTAGTTACAAAATGTTTAAACATACAGGCTCTAACTTTATACTTCTATAATATTCCTCTTCAACCATTGCCTCTTCTCCCAAACCATACCCAAATAATAAAAAGAAGGACAAATATTCCCTATTTTCAAAAAACCTATTTTTGATAGAAATCTATCCAACACCCAGCCTATTAGTTTAGTCGAACATATCAGAAAGCTATACACTAAACTTCTTACTAACCAACTTAATCTCACTTTCTCTCAACACATTATCTTATCACCATTCAACTTTGTTGTACTTCTAGAAAACTCTATATCAATACCTATCCACTTTCTAAATAATATTATTGAAGATATAAACTGCAATTCAAACCAACTATAACTTCTCTCTCAGATATAAGTAAAGCCTATGACTCAGTCAATTTTGAATTATTTCAAAAATCGCTACTCCAAATTCAAATGCCTCAACAACTTATTAATATTCTTACCAACCTTCTATTAAATCATACAAATCATGTTATTACCAACCTTGGCCTTACAAACTTCTACTCTATTAAAAATAGAATTAACCAAGAGAAAACTATTATTTACTCTTTCGAAGAATCTATTATGACTCCCTGATCTCAAAAATCTCTTCACACTTCTCCAGATATACTCTGTCTATTTTTACTCAACCAGCCTTATTTACCACTCCACAAATTACCTTAATACCTCCATATTGGTTCTTGTATATATAGATGATACTCTATGGTTTGCTAACTCCAAAACACAACTTGAAGAAATTGTTCAAACTGCCTCTTCTTTCTACTCTATAGCTGACATTCAAGTTAACCCCACCAAATCCCTTTTCATAACTATACAACCTTCCTCTAATATCTCATTTCTTAACTCCAATTTGCAATCAATTTCTTCTCATCAGTCCTTTAAATTTCTCAGTTGTTGGTTTACTCTTAACAACAAGCAATCTGCACAAATTAAACTTATTCAAGAAGAGGCTATTCAACTAGCTAATATCGCAGGCGCCAAAAATATAACTGACAAACAAATTACTTACATTATTAACACTGTTATTATTCCAACTACCGAATATCAGCTTCACAATATTGTAATCTCCTTATTCAAATGCAACAAAATTTTAAGCAAATACCTTACTATAGCTAAACAAAAAGCACATCTTTTTCATTCTACTCTCAGAAGTGCCTTTCTTAACCATAACCTCTATAATATTCACAATATTTGTAATATACAACTACAACACCATATCAGTAATTTTCTTAACCATATTAATAACAACTCTACTCTTGGCACTACAACTCATATTCGACTCTAGCAACTTCAAAATAATCTTTGGTCAACTACCAATATTCTACAACACACCCATCCCATTATTGATAGTCCAAACAAATATACAACTACCTTCAAAATTATACAACTTCTTAACTATCTACAAATTTCTATTTATGCACATACTGATTTTTCTTGGCCCAAAACAATTACTGACAGTAATACCTCACTTGAAAATATTCTCTTTAGCCATTCCAAATATATACTTTTAAACAACAACTTCGTCACAAACATATTCTTTATCTAAAACAACTTTGCTTAGCTAATAATAATATTCTTCTAGACTGGCACCATCTATCTTCATAAATCTTACATATTTCCAAAAGCAGAAAACCCACCTAGTTTATCTATCTTGAAAATACTATTCTTGATCACAACTCACTTCATACTATTTTACCATATTTTTAACCTAAAGGTCTTAATTTTTTTGCATATCAAACCAACTCTATTTCTAAAACCCACAAGCCTTGGGTCCTATTCTATCTCAATGAAGATATTGTAATAGGCAATGTCCACAAAACATTCTCCAAAACTAATACTATTTCTATAACTTACTGGCAACACAATATTGACATTTCTACTCCTAACTTCTATCCACTACCTCCCATTACTTGAACACCTTGCCATGGTTGTAACCTCAATTCTAACCAAATTTCTAGCTATTGTACACTTGAAGTATTTGCTATTCTTTCTACCCAGTTTCTGAGAAGAAAGAAAGCTAACAAACAACTTAATCTCAATGCCAACTATATTGATCTTATACAGTCTACTAACATTAAAAAAGCTACTGAAATACCACCTATACCATCAATTAACCTCTTTAACTCATCTATATCCACTATTTTTCACAACAATGAGGCCTTTTCACAACTTACTCGAATTGCACTAGCCAATCTTCTCTAGCACCAATTTACCTTTTATACAGATGGCTCTGTTAAACAACTTGGCACTAACCAATGCTCTATGGGTATTGGCTGTGTCTAAGTCCAAGATGACCAAATTATACAAAGCTTCTCTGCCCAAATTACAAACTGGCCTTCTTCTTACAAAACTGAACTATTAGCAATTCTATTTGTTATCTCAACTATCCCACGCAACTCTAAATTACAAATCTTTACTGACTCACAATCTGTTATATCCAAATACAACAAACTCTTAACTCTATCTCCTCACTCTACTAAAAACTTTAAATTTAACTCCTGGCCTATCTGGCACATACTCCTCAATATTACAAAAGCTTTTAAAATCTAACTCTCTCTTTACAAAGTCCAGGCCCACTCTGACAATACCTTTAATAACCTTGCAGACTTACTTGCCAATAACCATTCTAGCTTTCCCTTGTTATTATTCAATTATACCAACTCCTACAACTCCTACTTTACTCTATTATAGAAAAATAACTTTGTCAACAGCTCTACTCGACAATTCATTAAAAATATACATAATGCATACAATATAGCTCTATGGTCTTCTTAACACCATGCCCAAGAATGGTTACATTTTTCTCACCAAATTGCCTCCTGGCTATACTTTAACAATAACCAAAAAATCTCCTACAACCTTACTAATCCTAAACTAAACTGTTTAAAAGTTTTTAAAATCAATATGCTACTCAATATTCTACCTATACATGCATACTTTAACAACATATATTCTTACTTATTCACAACCCCAACTGCTTTGCTCGTAACAACCCAGACTCTTCTTCCCACTGGTACATCTATACTAGCCATACCCTAATTCAAACTATTAATTCTACTATATACAACACTTTATCTAACTCTAATCTCTATCTCTCTTCACACTAACTAAATAACCTTATACCTGCAATCTTCTCACATCCTGCCTTCTACCTCCAACCCTCTCAACTTTATCCATTCTCTCTTTATTCTACACTTAAAGGCCTTATACCAATCGCTTTAATCAAATTCTTAGATCCATTTGATATTTCATAGTCTAATACCTCCCAACTTATTATTAAACTAATATTCAATATCCTTGACCAACTTTACAATAATATCTGGATCCCATACTATATAAATTTTTCCCAATGGAAAAAATCTCACCAAGTCCTAACTACCAATCACTTTCTCAACCTCTCTCAACTCCCTCTAACAAGAAAAATAAAACTAACTATACCTATAACTGCCCTTGCGGTTTTGCTGACCAACTACACTCAGAATCTAATACCTGCCCTCCTCTAGAACAAGCCACTCTTAAACTTGACACCTGGCCCACTTTGTGGATCAAATACAATACACCTATCAATCATATTCTAACAATTCAAACCTAGGTGAGTCTTGACCACTCTAATAGGTTTAGGTCGCAGATAATTAGCCCAAGCTCTTAGCCTTAGCTTCTAGTTCAAGCTTTTAGTCTGATCTCTTATTATTGCATATAATTTATATTTATTTGTCTATGTACAAATTAAGTTTTTATATAGTTTATATAATTACTTATATAAATTAACTAATAAAGATATGAGCAAGGCCTCACCTTAACAACAAAAAAAAAAAAAAAAAATGTAAACTAATACACAGATTTGTTTTTGTCTGAATTAGCCTGAACAGGAATGTCAGAAGGTGATTTTCAAGGCAAAGACCTCAAATAATGATAATTTACATAAAAACTCCAGATACATAATCTATACATTATCTAGTGTTATGAATTAAATATAAGCCTAATTGATCACACATGAATTTTAGTTTACTTTTATATTTATTTTTTTTTATTTATTTTATTTCATTTTTCTTGTACGTATATAGTTGTCATCACACGCCATTTCCATTTTGATAACAATACCCAATATGGTATTTCCATTATTTCTTTGTAATATAAATGAATTAGTAATACAAATTAGAAAAGAGTTTGTGGCTTAAGAGGTATAGTAGATCTAATTTTCACGTTGATGCCGAATTATTAGCATTGACGCCAAAAAGTTTGTGTGAATGCTAAATTAATAGCGCCAATGCTGAATTTTTAGTGTAGACACTACAAAAATTAAAAATGTATAAAAGCTCAAAGAAAATTAATAAAGAAGGACAAGTTCCTCGTCCATATCAAATATAAAAGTTTAAATAAAAGTAAAATACTTATCCTGTAAAGTTCACCTTTAAATTTAATAAACTTTCGTAACTCAATTCGACGGATTGAATTGACTTGTAACCTCGATCGATTTTTAAGACTCGGATTTCTCGTGTGACCATTTTATTAGATATCCGAACTTGCTCACGTGACTTTTGTCGGAAGACCTTTCGGACAAGAAAAGCTTTAGTTAGAAACGCGAAAAGTAAAAACCCGCCTCCTTTAGCATCACCAGCATCAACTGATTTTAAGATATCGGATTCAAGATCACGATAACTTATCATTTAAACATCATCGATTTAAAAATCAAGCTCCCTGATATCATCTTTAAAGCATTAATCGTTCTTAAGACCGATTGCCTTTAAGATCTTCTTATCCTCCATTTTGTCTATATAAACCAACCTTCCCGTACACAGTTGGAGCTTCAAATTGGCACTATTGTCTATAATTGTACCATCGCTCTCCCATTCAACCGTTACACTAGCAATAATTCGAATTAAGAACGATGTTTTGGGAAATGAATAGGTATTTATGCCCTGTTCCCATCAAAGAATTTTCGCCCATATAATCTATATAAATTTATAAAGTTGGACGAATGGTAGCAAATTTAATAGAATATTGGTTGGATTTTTAATATTCTTTTTGAAAATTAGATTAGATTAAGTTTCACATATTAAAGGTTCACAAAAGACAAAGAAATTCGTAATTTTGGGATTGATTACATAACGGAGATGTTAATTGGGCAAAGATCTTTTAATGGCTCTGAACTGCTATACAAAATTATCAAGACTGACCTAAGATAGTTTGGAAAAATTATCAAGACTAACCTAAGAAAGTTTGGAAAAATTTATTTATGTACGAATAAATAAAAGATTTGTGATGATGGTCATATTTAGAGTAATGTTACTCAGATGTATCGGGTAAAATTTTATGCAGTACCTGAATCATGATGATTTGTGTAAATTATGAATTTCATTATTTCAATAACGATAATGTCACACATGTTAATGTATAATGGTTTAGGTTCACAGTTCGTAATTTATGTTATGAGGCAAGTATACTATTTTGGCATTATGTATAATAAACAGCAAAACATCAAATATTCACTACAAACATACGTACGTACACAGTGTTATCACTTGATTGTTTGGCCGGCTACTCAAATTTTTAAAACCAAATATTATTAGCTAATATTAGTACTATGGGCTATTGGTTATTGGCCTGTTTGCTAACCAAATGCAAAAAAAAAATATTGGTTGACAGCAAAAAATTGTCGGCACTGCGACACTGCGTACAGACGTACTTGTACTTTATTTTTATATTTATATATCGTATTAATATTAAATTTTTTAAATTTAGTAACTTCGAAGCTTTTACATTTTTAAATGACAATCCTAAATAATACTGTATAAAATAATTATTTAAATGGGTTGCTTTTCATCTAAATTAGGGGAAGAATCTGAAACTATGGATTCAGAAAATACACAGACTGAATTTAGATATAGTGATGGAAGAAGGTATCATAATGTGGAAGGTGCCGTATATCCTATGCCAAATGATGAGGATGAACAAGATAGACTACATCTTCAACATTTCTTGATGAGATACCTTTGGCAAAGCAATTTTTCTGCACCCATCAATCACATATTGACTAAACCAGGTTCTAAAATCATTGATATTGCGTATGTATAAGATTATGATAATTAAAGAATGAAACTCGATATAATTAAAGCTCATTATATTTAAATTAGTTTAGTAAATTTATATATAATGAATTTTTGAAGTTTTGGTACTAATCTTTATAACGAGTTTATATTGTAATTATGCTCATTGAGAAAAATTTGTTAGAAATTTTGAGTTCTCGACTTACAACATTATTTGAACACAAAGATCATTACAATATTTTATGATTTAAGCATAAATAGCTTTCTCATGCGAACCAATTTTTTATTACTTTTATTTTTTTTTAAATTTCGATTCTAAAATTTGTCAGACTTTTTTTTAAAAAAAATTTTTTACCATTATAAGAAAATTATTCATTTTAGCAGCTTTATTATTACTGATTAATATCTGCCTAATCTTTATTGAAAGTTTATTGCGCTAACATCACATCCATACCTTGGTATTTTTAGGTGTGGTGCAGGGTCGTGGTCATTTGATATGGCGACCACGTACGTATATTCTTATATAATAAATTTTTCGGTTCTTATCTCTCATTACAAATTATTATTCATTATAAGTTTTTCTTAGGTATCCAACGATTGATGTTGTTGGATTAGATATCTCTCCACTTCAACCTACGCAGATAAAGCCAAAGAATTTCACATATGTTAAAGCAAATGTCTTAGAAGAAATACCATTCGAAGATAGTACTTTTGATTTTGTATATCAACGTTTTATGTCTTATGCATATACCAAAGATGAATGGCCAAGTGCAATAAATGAGCTTGTTAGGATTTTAAAGCCAGGTGGATTCATAGAGGTATTTGAAATTTAATATATATATTAAATTTATTTATTAATATACATTAAATATATTAATTTTTCTTTTCAAAAAAAGTTGATGGAGCCATCTCCAGAGCTTTTTGATCTTGGACCGATTGCTAAACGGATATGGGGAGCTCGTATGTACTTTAAACTAGTTTAATATTTTTCCTATATTCTTTCTACTTATACTAATGTACTATTTATTAAAATGATTTATCATAAAGAATCAATGCTCGTAACACAAAGAGGCGTAGACCTGGATGTATATCAAAAACTAGAGAAAATTCTACAAGATCAAGGTTTTTACTTTTAATACAATTATTTGTGATAGATAAAATGATCATAATGTTTATTAATAATAATTATATATTTTCTAAATTAAAGGTCAGCTCGAAAATATTAAAAAAGAAGTAAAAATAATCCATCATGGTATTAATAATAATGTCCAACTTAATAAAGTGGTAATGTATTAAACAAATCTTATTGTCTTTTCATATTTTAATGAAACTGTTTTTTAATTAAAATTTTTAACATCGCATGAAATAAACAGGATATAAATAATTTAGTTTCCATAATGGGTGGGATGAAAACCCATACAACAAAAGTATTGCAAATTACGGATGATGAATTTGATGAATTGCTTAAAGCAGCAGAAATGGAATTATATGAGACCGATTTTAATTATCATTTGGTTCGTGTCTATGCAAGCAAACTTGTAGCTGATAATTAGTCAACAAAAGTAGAACCTAATGACAAAGTCTATGAGTGATTTGGCATAATTTTAAGTTTTTAAAAACTTATTCATGGCATTTTAACCAGTACGGTCACATGAATGTGTAACATGAAATGTAACTTTTTGATGTTCACTATTAGATTTTTGAAAAATCTTTTTTTTGTTTTTTTAGAAAGTGTTAATATTTACAGATTATATAACTATACCATTATGAATTGCTCTGTTACGTACGTACATATGATTGTGTGAAAATGATAAATGCGAGAAAAATCTATTATGTCATTTGATTCGGAGTTCGTCCATCCATTTAGTTTTTTTGAATGAATTACTGGGGCTTCCGATATACTAATTAATCAAAATCATGTGAGATGCAATAATAAGCTGATAAATTTTATGCATAAATCGATCGGCAAACTTTTACTAACGAATCACCTCGTGTACAAGCTATTTTTTTGAAGAAATCTTCGTAGCAAACGATTCGCATAGTATAATAAAAAAAAGTTACAGGGCCAAAATTTTGAATAATTGGGCATTTTTGGTTATTACATTAGCAGGAATTACTCAAGGACTAGTAAATATTCAAAAAAAATTGATTCATCTCGTGTACAAGCTATTTTTTTGAAGAAATCTTTGTAGCAAACGATTTGCATAGTATAATAAAAAAAAGTTACAAGGCCAAATTTTTGATTAATTGGGCATTTTGGTTATTAAATTAGCAGAAATTACTTAAGGACTAGTAAATATTCAAAAAATTTGATTCATCTCATGTACAAGCTATTTTTTGAAGAAATCTTCATAGCAAATGATTCGCATAGTATAATAAAAAAAGTTACAGAGCCAAAATTTTGATTTATTGAGATTTTTGGTTATTATATTAACAGAAATACTTAAAGACTAGTAAACATTCAAAAAAAATTGATTCACCTTGTGTATATCTATTTTTTTGAAGAAATTTTCATAGCAAACGATTCGCATAGTATAATAAAAAAAAGTTACAAGGCCAAATTTTCGATTAATTAGACATTTTTACTGTCAAAGCAAATTTTGGTTCAACCCACCTAATCAGTCATGTGACATGCTATCTTGGTCACAAGTTAGGTCACAGGTAAGATCGAAAGGTGTGTTATCACAAATTTGATTGGCTAAAAAATAGAAATATGCAATTTTTTTAATTTTTTTAATAACAAATTATTAATGTTATAACCATATTAGAGCTTGACCTGCTACAAACAATGTATATTGTATCTTTTTTTTTTTTGTGATTATAAGTTTGCCGCATTTACTAATTTTCGCCTCACTTTTCTGTATTTTTGATTGGTCGCAGGTAAATATCACCCCTGATTGGACAAGACAATAATGTCATACTTTCCCGACTTTCTGAATTCCGTTGGCTCGATTCGCCTTTAAAGTCTCTGATCCTGCCTTAAGTATAAGATTTACGTTTACATTGCAGATAATAATCTTGATTATTTAAAGTTTTTTTTTAGTTTTTTTTCAACTTTTTTTTTTCCGATTTTTTTTTCTTTCTTTTTTTTTTTTTGATCTTTCTTTTTTGATCTTCTTTCTTTTTGATCTTTGATCTTTTTCTTTTTTTTTTATTTACTGTCTTTTACTAATGTTTTTTTTTCTCTTTTGTAGGTCATATGCTTCTCCGGGAAGGGTTAATGGAGATCGGGATTGAGATCTTGAACTTGGATCTGACACCAATATAAGTACCAGTTCACATTTTTTTTTTCTTTGTCATTTTTTGGAGTTGTTACTAATGCCTTTTCTCTTTTTTGTAGGTCTTGTGCTTCTCTGAAAAGGGTTAATTGGGACCGGGATTGAGACCTTGAACCCGAAATTGGTACCAAGATAAGTACTAGTTTGCGTTTTTTCTATTTCTTTGTCATTTTTTGGAGTTGTTACTTTTTCTCTTTTTTTTTTTTTGTAGGTCTTGTGCTTCTCCGGGAGGGACCGGGATTGAGACCTTGAACCCAAAATTGGTATCAAGATAAGTACTAGTTTGCGTTTTTTGGAGGTGTTACTTTTTTTCTTTTTTTTTGTACTGGTAGGTCTTGTGCTTTACTGGGAAGGGTTAATTTGGACCGGGGTTGTTATCTTGAACCCGAAATTGGTACCAAGATAAGTACTAGTTTGTGTTTTTTCTTTTCTTTGTCATTTTTTGGAGTTGTTACTAATGCTTTTTCTCTTTTTTTTTTGTAGGTCTAGTGCTTTGCCGGGAAGAGTTAATTGGAACCGGGTTGAGATCTTGAACCTGAAATTGGTACTAAGATAAGTACCAGTTTGCATTTTTCTTTTTTTTTGTTGTTTTTCGGTACCATTGCTAATACTTTCTTTTTGT